ATTGAATAATACAAATGTCCAAAATACAATTATTTGGTAAATGTCATAAATTTAAACAAACGTTATGTGTGTGTAATAATCATATATTTGCAAACATTAATCAAAAAATTTTACATTGTTCTTGTGACGAAGTGTGGGTTTTTTACAAGTGGTTATTGCTTGAAAATAAAATTTTAAATTAATCATAAATTTTGTTTGATTTCCCAAAAACATTAGTTATAGTACTCGCATACAAAGGTGGTTCAACAGAAAAACAATTTCTAAAAATGTTGACGACGAATGATAGTAAGAATACAAATGTCCAAAAATACAATGATTTGGTAAATGTCATAAATTTAAACAAACGTTATGTGTGTAATAATCATATATTTGCACAAAAATAATCACAAAATTTTACATTGTTCTTGTGACGAAGTGTGGGTTCTTTACAAGTGGTTATTGCTTGAAAATAACATATTAAATTAAACGTAAATGTTGTTTTATTTCCCAAAAACATTAGTTATAGTACTCGCATACAAATGTGCTTCAACAGAAAAACAATTTTTAAAAATGTTGACGACGAATGATAGAATTTTTAATATTGAAGAATACAAATGTCCAAAATACAATTATTTGGTAAATGTCATAAATTTAAACAAACGTTATGTGAGTAATAATCATATATTTGCAAAAAATTAATCACAAAATTTTACATTGTTCTTGTGACGAAGTGTGGGTTTTTTACAAGTGGTTATTGCTTGAAAATAAAATTTTAAATTAATCATAAATTTTGTTTGATTTCCCAAAAACATTAGTTATAGTACTCGCATACAAAGGTGGTTCAACAGAAAAACAATTTCTAAAAATTTTGACGACGAATGATAGTATATTAAGAAGAATACAAATGTCCAAAAATACAATTATTTGGTAAATGTCATAAATTTAAACAAACGTTATGTGTGTAATAATCATATATTTGCAAAAAATAATCACAAAATTTTACATTGTTCTTGTGACGAAGTGTGGGTTTTTTACAAGTGATTATTGCTTGAAAATAACATTTTAAATTAAACATAAATTTTGTTTGATTTCCCAAAAACATTAGTTATAGTACTCGCATACAAAGGTGGTTCAACAGAAAAACAATTTTTAAAAATGTTGACGACGAATGATAGAATATTTAATATTGAAGAATACAAATGTCCAAAATACAATTATTTGGTAAATGTCATAAATTTAAACAAACGTTATGTGTGTGTAATAATCATATATTTGCAAAAAATAATCACAAAATTTTACATTGTTCTTGTGACGAAGTGTGGGTTTTTTACAAGTGGTTATTGCTTGAAAATAACATTTTAAATTAGACATAAATTTTGTTTGATTTCCCAAAAACATTAGTTATAGTACTCGCATACAAAGGTGGTTCAACAGAAACACAAATTTTAAAAATGTTGACGACGAATGATAGAATTTATATTAAGAATACAAATGTCCAAAAATACAATGATATGGTAAATGTCATAAATTTAAACAAACGTTATGTGTGTAATAATCATATATTTGCAAAAAATAATCACAAAATTTTACATTGTTCTTGTGACGAAGTGTGGGTTTTTTACAAGTGGTTATTGCTTGAAAATAAAATTTTAAATTAAACATAAATTTTGTTTGATTTCCCAAAAACATTAGTTATAGTACTCGCATACAAAGGTGGTTCAACAGAAAAACAATTTTAAAAAATGTTGACGACGAATGATAGAATATTTAATATTGAATAATACAAATGTCCAAAATACAATTATTTGGTAAATATCATAAATTTAAACACACGTTATGTGTGTGTTATAATCATATATTTGCAAAAATTATTAACAAAATTTTACATTGTTCTTGTGACGAAGTGTGGGTTTTTTACAAGTGGTTATTGCTTGAAAATAAAATTTCAAATTAATCATAAACTTTGTTTGATTTCCCAAAAACATTAGTTATAGTACTCGCATACAAAGGTGGTTCAACAGAAAAACAATTTCTAAAAATGTTGACGGCGAATGATAGTTTAATATTGAAGAATACAAATGTCCAAAAATACAATGATTTGGTAAATGTCACAAATTTAAACAAACGTTATGTGTGTAATAATCATATATTTGCAAAAAATAATCACAAAATTTTACATTGTTCTTGTGACGAAGTGTGGGTTTTTTACAAGTGGTTATTGGTTGAAAATAAAATTTTAAATTAATCATAAATTTTGTTTGATTTCCCAAAAACATTAGTTATAGTACTCGCATAAAAAGGTGGTTCAACAGATAAACAATTTCTAAAAATGTTGACGACGAATGATAGAATATTTAATATTGAATAATACAAATGTCCAAAATACAATGATTTGGTAAATGTCATAAATTTAAACAAACGTTATGTGTGTAATAATCATATATTTGCAAAAAATAATCACAAAATTTTACATTGTTCTTGTGACGAAGTGTGAGTATTTTACAATCAAACATATTAAGATATTTAATTTAATATAATTTTATATAATTTTCACCATCAAACATATTAAGATTTGGAATTCCTTGATGATAGTTAACATTTGGTAAATTATATAAAGGTTGCATTTCATCAAAGCACAATGTGATCTGATTAAAATCACAATTACATATTTCTCTAACTGATTTTATGAAATTTGTTACAAAATTTGACTTCCCACATCCACTTGGCCCTGCCACAATAGCAGTAAACGGATGTATAAAGTGAAACATTACACACGTCTATACTATAGACTCTAAGGGTTGAAATAAAAAATGAAAATGGTGTAAACAATTAATATATATTGTGTACTATAATGTTTATAAACTAATGTTTTGGGAAATCAAACAAAATTTATGATTAATTTAAAATTTTATTTTCAAGCAATAACCACTTGTAAAAAACCCACACTTCGTCACAAGAACAATGTAAAATTTTGTGATTATTTTTTGCAAATATATGATTATTACACACATAACGTTTGTTTAAATTTATGACATTTACCAAATCATTGTATTTTGGGCATTTTTATTCTTCAATATTAAAAATTCTATAATTCGTCGTCAACATTTTTAAAAATTGTTTTTCTGTTGAACCACCTTTGTATGCGAGTACTATAACTAGTGTTTTTGGAAATCAAACAAAATTTATGATTAATTTAAAATTTTATTTTCAAGCAATAACCACTTGTAAAAAACCCATACTTCGTCGCAAGAACAATGTAAAATTTTGTGATTAATGTTTGCAAATATATGATTATTACACACATAACGTTTGTTTAAATTTATGACATTTACCAAATCATTGTATTTTGGACATTTGTATTCTTCAATATTAAAAATTCTATCATTGGTCGTCAACATTTTTAAAAATTGTTTTTCTGTTGAACCACATTTGTATGCGATCACTTCGTCTTTGCACAAATTTCTAATATACCAATTTAATATGGGAATGATGTTCTCTTGTTTGTAGGCACATCTTAATTCTTCGGTCATATCAAAATATGGAATGCCCCGCACGTGTGTTTCACAATAACGAACAGTTTTTTTGTCTTTTCCGACAATTAATTGAAAGGATAACTTGGCCGAAACAAGTAATGATCGATAAACGCATCATTTTTATTAGACAGTTTTACATCTAGAATAGCCATTTCTCTACATTGAAAATGTTTATGAGGATATGTAATGTAAAATCCGTCCATGTCGATGATGTATCTAATATTTTTTAGATTTTGTGTCATTTTGAACCAAAATGTTAAAAGTATTTACACTTGACTAAACATATGTTTGTTCCAACGAACTTCACATAACAATTCATTCTTCATTACTTCCCATCATCCCATTTCTTCCTTCTGCTCTTGTCTTCCTGTAATTTAAGTAAACAGAATCACATTCACTAATGATCAACTAATGACTGTTATTGTTAAAAAAGTATTTTTTTTAATTTTTTCACTTTCTGCTATTGTCTTTGTATTTATGGTTAGGAAATGTCCGCGGCGCTGCCTCAATACGCGTTGGCGAACTTCACATGCCTTCGAAATTTTCTCAGACTGCCGGCGGGGATCGAACCCGCGTCGCGTACTGTGAAATTTACAGCTTGCGCTAACCATCTGAGCTACCGCGGCTTAATCATATACAGACACAATATTTAAATATAATTTGTTAAGACTAAATCATACACACGTAAGAAAATAACAGAAAGAAAAGTAAGTTTGTCAATAGAATAAACACTTAAAATTGCAATTAACAATTTAATTTCGGCGGGGATCGAACCCGGGTTGCGTACTGTGATATTTACAGCTTGCGCTAACCATCTGAGCTACCACGGCTTAATCATATACACACACAATATTTAAATATAATTTGTTAACACTAAATCATACACACGTAAGAAAATAACAGAACGAAAAGTAATTTTGTCAATAGAATAAACACTTAAATTTACAATTTAATTGGTGCCGGCGGGGATCGAACCCGGGTCGCGTATTGTGAAATTTTCAGCTTGCGCTAACCATCTGAGCTACCACGGCTTAATCATATACACACACAATATTTAAATATAATTTGTTAACACTAAATCATACACACGTAAGAAAATAACAGAAAGAAATGTAACTTTGTCAATAGAATAAACACTTAAAATTGCAATTAATAATTTAATTGGTGCCGGCGGGGATCGAACCCGGGTACTGTGAAATTTACAGCTTGCGCTAACCATCTGAGCTACCACGGCTTAATCATATACACACACACAATATTTAAATATAATTTGTTAACACTAAATCATACACACGTTAGAAAATAATAGAAAGAAAAGTAACTTTGTCAATAGAATAAACCACAGAACACTTAATATAGCTAGTAGAAATGTTATACGAGCCGGGAACGCGCGCCGTGTATATGGCTTAAAAGCCAACTACTAGAATTTCGTGACTCAGTTCGAAACAAGCAGTCGTCAAGTGTTAGTCGTGGTGCACGTGGTTAAAAATGGTCTATTGCAGTGTTTCGAACTGTTCAAACTGTTCAGGAAAGGGTTATTGTTCTTCTAAAGGAATTTCTTATCATTGGTGAGTAAAATAATACATTTTTAAATCGATTTTATTGAACGATACTTTGCCCTTCAACGCGTCGTAGTATGGCCGCTGATCCCAGACGCCAATTAAGGATGTGCTTAGATTTTAGTTTATCGACGCTATCGATATTCTATGCCTTGTATAATCAATTCTAGTGGATTATTTTTAGAAATAAATTTTGCTGTTAAATAAAAAGTGTAAGTTTTATTTAACAATAAATATTTGTTCTTATTCAATATTCTTATATTTTTTTTAGTTTTCCGATAAACCCAGAAGTTAAGGAAAAATGGATTTTGGCAACAGGGAAAAAAAATTGGTTTCCTTCTAAACATAGCAAAATATGTTCAGCACATTTTCAAGAACAGGATTTTAATCCTACAAGAAAACGCCGTGTTCTTTTGGATCATGCTTATCCGACTATTCACGTTTGGACAACTTCTGAAAATGTAAGTATCTTTTAAATAAATAAAGTATTTTAGTAAAATACAAACCATCCCGTGGCTCTATTATGCAAAACAGTAAAGAAATTATGTGGCGCCACTAGTGCATTTTTGATACTATATAATTCGGAAACGAAATTCTTTACCACATTTTGTGTAATTATACTGAAATTAAGTCAGTCTTGCTGTCGCACGGATGGGCCGGCTTGAACCGGGGTGGTACCACGACCTCACAGAAAACCAGCGTGAAGTAGCGGTTTACCTCTGCGTTTCGCTTGGTGAGTGCAGGTGGCCGGACGCCCTTTTTACTGGAAATGAGGCATTCCATCTTAGTTCTCACGGGTGACAACGCATCTACATTTTGATTTGTAATAGAGGATAGATGTAGAGCTATTAGTAACTTAATAGTTACTTTTTGCAAGGTAACTATTAAGTTAACAAACATGTTATTTCAGGTATCAGATATCCAAGTTAACGTAACACCATCAAAATCTCCGTCACCTTCTATGTCATCCAAATCTATTAAGCGAGCGATACAGTTAGATCCGGACATAATGGAAACTCCCAGAAAACGAAAAATGCAACGTATTATAAACGAAAAGGAAAATGTTATAAAAACTCAACGATCGAAAATAAAATGTTTACAAGGTAAAAACCGGAGATATAGAAAAAAAATTATAGAGTTGCAAGAAATAATAAAGGAATTACAATCAAACAGATTAATTAATAGCGACCAAGCCTTTTTTTTAGAAAACACCAACGTGAACACAAAAGAGTTATTTAAAAGATGTGAGAAAAAATTAAAATCTAAAAAATTAACACGTGAAAAATACTCACCGAGCCTTCGGAGTTTTGCGATGACGCTACATTTTTATTCGCCGAAGGCATACCTTTATGTAAGGCGCAAGTTTGAGACCTGCTTGCCTCATCCCAGGACCATTAAAAAATGGTATCAATCTTTTGACGCAGAACCTGGTTTTACTACAGAGTCCCTTGATGCTATAAAATCTAAAATTCAATCTACACAATATCCAATATTATGTAATTTGGTGTTGGATGAGATGGCGATTCGTCAGCGCATCGAATGGGATGGGAAACGTATGCATGGTTATGTTAATTTCGGAAACAATTTAAACGATGGTGGGGATAATTTGTGTGAAGCTAAAGAGGCTTTAGTATTCCTTGTTACTGCAATTAATGGGGCATGGAAAATACCTGTCGGATACTTTCTGACAGACGGTGTAACAGGTGAACAAAAGTCAAACCTAGTGAAACAGTGTCTTGAACTTTTAAGCACAACTGGCGTTGAAGTTGTTTCTCTGACGTTTGATGGTTGTCCTGCTAATCTTACAATGGCAAAAATTCTCGGATGCTCTTTTGACATTAATAATATAAAAACTTGTTTTAGCCATCCCGTTTCACAAAAACCAGTTTACGTTTTGTTGGATGCTTGCCACATGTTAAAACTAGTAAGAAATGCATTCGAATCAAGCGCAACATTAAAAGACAATTTTGGTAGATTAATAAAGTGGTCGTACCTGGTCCATCTTAACCATCTACAGGAAAAAGAACATTTGCATCTTGCAAATAAGTTAAGACGCCGCCATATTTATTTCTACAACCAAAAAATGAAAGTTAAGCTGGCGACACAACTGATGAGCAGTAGTGTAGCTAGAGCTTTAATTTTTTGTTCCAAAACTAACCAACCGGGGTTCACCGATGTCCAAGGCACAGTAGATTTTTTGCAAAATTTTAATGACTTGTTTGATATTTTAAATTCACGAAATATTAATCAGTTACACTATAAGGAACCCATAAATTTCAAAAACAAGGATAAGGTGTTCATTTTTTTAAACAAAATGGAAGCATATATAAAAAACCTAAAAATGTATAACGAAACGGAAATAATTAAATCACCTAAAAAAACCGGGTTTTTAGGTCTTGTGGTATGCATCAATAGTGTCAAAAGTTTATACCTAAGGCTTGTCGAAGAAGAAAAAAAATTAAAATATTTGCCCACCTATAAGTTGTCTCAAGATCATCTGGAGTTGTTATTCGGTAATATAAGAGCTCATGGTGGGTGTAACAACAACCCGACAGCGCGACATTTCATGGCTATTTATAAAAAACTAATAGTCAAACTAGAATTGAATAATTTTGAAAGTGGTAATTGCATGGCACTTGAAAATATTTCAATTTTGACTTGTTCTTCATCAGTGGAAAAAATGAATAAATCTACTTTATCACCAATGATTGAAGAAGAAATGGAAAATGAAGAATATATTAAAGAATTTGATGAAGTTTTGAAAACGGAAAATATCATGACAGAATTTAGTTTGGAAGTAGTAAGCTACATAGCAGGAAATGTGGTACATTTTTTACTTAACAAAATTAAATGCGAAACTTGCATTTCGGCTCTTTTAAATTCCAGTGCTATTAAAGACAATTTTAAATTGATACGGTTGAAAGACAACGGTGGTCTTATTTTTCCTAGCGCTGACGTAATTTTGATTTGTAAAAAAATTGAATCAATTCTTAAAACTTTTACTGTAGATGCTCAATCAGTCAAAAATTTTGAAAAGTTTAAAAAGCAGATAACATCCAGAGCCTTACGTCATTTCATTGGCGTTGAAGTATTCAGAGAAATCGATTTTCATCAATTTGATCAGGGACCAATGGAAAACCATGTAATATTGTTAACAAAATGTATTATAGAAAGGTATACAGATATTCGCCTTCACCATTTAATGAAAACCTCAGCACAAAAAGTATCAAAAAGACAACTTTTAAATAAATATTTGCATTTTACAGGACAATAAATAAATAAATATTTCAATGAATATTTTGTTTTTGAAATGATGAAAATGTCTTAATTTTTTTTTCCATTTTACTGTGTAAGTTTTACTCCTTGTAATTAATTAATTTTCTACTTTACGTTTTTTTATAGCATTAGGCTTATTTTACGTTTCATATTATATCATTATATTGTTTTATTTTATCACATATTTATTACCTACATTATTCCGTGTCGATATTTTATCGATAGTTTTTTGTCAAGCACTAGCGTATATGAGTTGAGTGTGTTAACTACCTGAAAGGAGTGGGGAGACTAGCGGCGGCAGTGGTATCGCAAGTAAATTGAAACAAAGGCATTTCTATTCCGTTATATTAAGTGTTCTGTGGAATAAACACATCCATGGCCTTTGATGCGTTGAAGTAACACAAATATAGTATTGATAGATCCACTGCGGTCAAACGACCATACACTAACTCCATGACTGCACTTGCTTGGTCTTATATGTACCAGTAAGTAATAATTCTAATCTAAAGAATTTCAGCAGTGGAATTGATAGTAACTTTATGCGTCAACAAGTATATCTCACATTTTGTTGCTTATCTCAACATTACTTCGTGTCGCGTCTTGTTCAGTGTATTGATGACTTAAATACGTTTTGTATAACACAAAATAATGCAATTTAATATTTAGAAATCACTATAAATTAATCATTCCTATGTTAGTCATTGAGTAGATTGTACTGTAATAATCTACTAATAGCAGTTTTTGTATTTTGTAAATAAAAAGTTTTAACAAAATTAGGTAATGTGTTTTATTGATGAGTCAGATTAGTGTAGATAGGAACAAAGGAGTATAATACAATAGCACCACGCTGAGGGAGAATAGATAATGACGGTATTCAATGAACAATAGATAAATAGATAAGAACAATGGAGCGCTAATGACGGTGGAGGCCTTCACCGGATGTCAATTAGATAAGAGTTAATTGATCTGCACATCTCCGGAACCGTGCATCCTACGCAAAAATGGATCGCAGATTCGTGATCAGAGCATGCCAAAACTTTTTTTTTTAGGATCGTGAGTCGACGAACGTCGTACTTGTACCACTTCTGACTCAGTGAGCCAGAACTGGTACAACGTAACTACTAAAGTGCATTTGTATAATGATATCAATCCTGGAAACTATGCTGACACACTATTAAAAATTGGCGATGGGCGGTTGGAAACGGATGCTGAGAGCTGCGTTAAATTGACAAGAGATTTTAGTAATTTAGTACAGTCATTCCGAATTGATTGCGAGCGTTTATTCAGATTTAACGAACAACATGCATGAAGACAAATGGTTATGTGAAATGGCGATTCTAGCACCAAATCAGAGCATTAACAAAATAAATTCAGATATATTAAGCGAAGTAGCAGGAGAAATAACAGAGTATTTGTCAGTAGACACAGTTATGGACACAGAACAGAGCACTTCATATCCCATAGAGTTTCTAAATTCTCTAGAGTTTTCAGGTTTGCCCTCACATAAGCTTCAATTAAAATTAGGCGTCCCAATCATGCTAATGCGAAATATAGATGCTCCTCGGCTATGTAACGGGACAAGGCTGCGTGTGACACATCTTGGACGGAACATAATCGGTGCTAAAATTTTGACACACGTAGGAAAAGGTGAAAATGTTATTATACAACGGATCCCTATAATTCCCACAGATCTTTCTTTTCAATTTAAAAGGTTGAAGTTCCCTATTAAGCTCAGTTTTGCAATGACAGTTAATAAAGCGCAAGGTCAAACGTTACAGGTAGCGGGGGACAACTTAGAAAAACCGTGCTTCTCTCATGGTCAGCTGTATGTAGCATGTTCGCATGTGTCAAATGTCCAGAATCTCCACATTCTTTCCCCGAATGGAAAACATATAACATTGTGTATATTAGCGTCTTAAAATAGTATTCAGTTAGTTTTTTTAAAAAATTCCCGCAATCAATTAATCAGAATTCCCACAGATCTTCTCTTTCAATTCAAAATTTCATATTTAGTTCAGTTTCTTTTCAATTCCAAATGCTGCACACCCCAAAAAACCCCCCGCAAAAAAAACCTCTGACGAATCAATTTAGCTCAGTTTCTTTTCAAAAGTCTGCATCCCTGACGGATAATTATGCTCAGTTTCCTTTAATTAAAAAATATCCCATTTCCATTTGGAATAAACAGGCTATTTTCATGCTTTCCTATACGCTGCGTTTCAAAACATTTAAATAGGCTGACGAATCAATTTTGCTCAGTTTCCTTTTAATGGCTGCATCTCTGACAAATCTATAAAACTCAGTTTTCTTTCAATTCAAAAAACAATGGATAGTACATTTCCCAGTGACCATGCGGGCGAAGCTGCGGGTAACAGCTAGTTTTTACAATAAATTAGTTCTCTCTTACATCTTAGTCTTGTTTAAGCTTCCCACGCTCGCTTAACGCTGTCCACCACCATCTCGAGACGGCTAAGCTGGCCTTACTCTTTCTCACCTGAATGCCGAATTTTGTGTGTACGCTTACAGCGGTAACACCAACAAGAAGGTATTGTAGACAGACCGACTCATCGATCACGTCCAAATGTGTGCACATTCTGTACTACTACTGATCCCATCCGTAGAGATCGTGCTCCTTGGAGATTTCAACCACGCCGAATGGCTCAGTTCTCGTACTGTCAATCATGCGGGGAGATCTGTTTACGAATTTCCCTTGGCATATGGTCTGAAAAAACTGGTTACTTCGCTCACTGTGATCTGGAGATCACAACCTTCTCATCCAAATATCGTCCCCATCCATGCTCCTCTTGGCTCTTCAGATCACTGTCTGATCTGTAGACTGTCGCCGTGTGTGGCATTATAGTTCAGCAGATTGCGATGGGATGCGGGAATTTTAAGCGCCCATTTTATAGTCCCGACATAATTGCTGAGTCCGTCGCCGATATAGTAATTCAGCGTTTGGAAAATTTCATTCCGTCATCTGTAGTGCTTATCGGCGGCAGATCCCGGCCATGGTTTGGTATGAATGCTCAAAGCAGGATTTTCGGTTCACATAGTTCTCAGCGCGTAAAGCATTACTGTTACTGGACGTCCATAAGTGGAGTGCACCTTCCTTCCAATTGTGCTAAAGACGTGTGGTCCAGAGTTAGCGCCGGTTTTTATTTGTCTTTTTCTGTCTCTTACTCTTTAAGAAACAAAGTAAGAAGAAGAAGAAAGAAAGAAATATAATGAAGAATAATAAAATATTTTTCTACAATAAAACAACCAATTAGAATAAGGAAAAAATTTTATATTTATATCAGGTTGGAAACCTAACGCTGATTTTTTATTGGCCCCCTGAATTGTATTTTTTTTTCTTTAGGTGTCCTTCCAAGCTCAAGGAAGATAGCCTTAGTGCACCGAATCCCTAAAAAAGGTGACCGCTCGCACCTGTCCAACAGGCCTATCCCCTTCACCTCCTTTTTCTCCAAAATAATGAAATCCATCATTTACTTTCAGATCATGAGGTACCTAAAAGAGCATCAGATAATTAGTGACCGTCAATACGGTTTTCGTCGTGGTCGCTCAGCTTGTGATCTTCTTGTCTGCCTGGCTACCGATGAGCGGCAGTAGCCGAGACCAAGCGGAAGGCCCAGGTGGTTACTTTAGACAAAGCGAAGGCCTTCGATTGGATTTGGCACAAAGCTCCTCTTTCAAAGTTTCACTCTTATGTGCTTCCCGAGAAATTATGCAATTAAGTCACTAGTTTTCTTACAGATCGGAGAACTAAGATCGTAGTTGACATTGGATGCTCTGAGTGCTGCCGGTGAATGCTGATGTTCCAAAAGTACCTTGGGCATATCAATGATTTTTTGCGTACTAGTAACATTCATTGTTATGCAGGCGACAACGCTGGCGACAGCGATATCTTGTACACCGGTCGTGCTAATATTTTTCGAGAACACATCGTCGAGTGCTGGACAATAATCGTATAGCGAAGAAGTTAGGTTTGGTTAACACTTAATATTAATGTTGGTATATTCGACTCGTCATTATAGTTATATTCGGGCATATTTAAACTTTTATTTATTTATTTACACTTTATTTTTTACACATTAACAATAAGAATTACTGAATTTTAGCATTATCTCTCCGTATGTATTTTAAATACAAACTTTCTCTTATTTGCTGCGTTCTCCATCAATAAGGCAACAAAACGAAGGCCAGTATTCGACCTTTCAGCTATATCGTATTCCTTATTCATGTCACATCTCGTAATGTCGCGGTCCCCGGGCATGTCAACCGATGCCGGCAGCATCACAGATTATCCATCGACATTGACGCGGTAGCTATCCGAATGCCAATGCTAATATTATATTTCCATTCCTCGAATACTTATGTTTAAGTGTTGTTCAAATGGCCTTAGAGTTGCAGCAATAGCAGGTAAACGTATACCGCGAAATAAAATATTTAGAACTTTTAGCAAAAGTTAATAAAAAAGTTAAAATTACAGACTATATACGTCCCACAGCTGGACACAGGCCTCTTCTCATTTCTGAGGAGGTTTTAGTACAAGAAAGTGTCCGCCGCGTCGCACTGGCCCAATGTCTGCTGGCGAACTTCACATGTCTTCGAAATATTGGTTTTTCTTATTTCACAGACATGCAGGTTTCCTCACGACGTTATCCTTCACAACCGAGCACGTGGTGGTGGAACATTTAAAAGTGCAATTAACAATTTCATTGGTGCCTGCGGGGATCCACTCCGGGCTTGCTCGCGTACTGTGAAATTTACAGCGAGCGTTTAGCGCCTGAGCTACTACGGCCTGTGTTTATGACTCAGATGTAAACATGAATACTAGATATAAAAATATATATAAAATTCCCTAACATTGTAGTTTATTGTTTTAAATGTCCCATCCTTTGGCGCTACAGCCTTTTGTGGGATGTGGCCTCCTCCACAATATTCCTCCACTTGTCGCGATCCTTCGACTCCCTGCGCCAGTTGGTTTATTTATCCATTCTTCTCAGATCCTGTTTCACATTTTCTAAACAACGTTTTTTTGGCCTGCCTTTTGGTCTCTTTTACTGGGGAGTCCACTTGGTCATGATTTTTACGGCCATAGAACCCGGCATTCGTTCCAGGTGGCCCGCCCATCTCAGCCGCTGTGACTTACAGAATCTGACGTTGTTCTCACGTCCTACAAGAGCATAACGCTCGGTAATTCATGCGCAGACGATAGGTCGTACCATCAGATTCTTCGACTGTTCCAAATATATTTTAACTGAGCACTTTCCTTGGAAATCAAATACCAAGATTCGTCACGTCTGTGTAAGAAATCCAGGTTTATTATGGCATGCGTAAGTGTTTACACAAACAGGTCTTACCAGGATGATTTCTGCATGTAAAAGATCAATATCGTGGGAACGTGGATGAAGTATTGGCACCGTCAAGGTCAAAAACTGCATCACCAGAAAACGTTGATGCTGTGCGTAAGCTTATTGAGGAAGATCGACATGTGACATACCGCGAAATTCAGGCAACTTTAGACATTGGCATGAGTCAAATACAAATAATCTTGCATGAACAATTAGGTGTAAAAAAGTTGTTTTCCCGATGGATACCGCATTCGCTCTGTGAAGAGCAAAAAGCGGCTCGCGTTACTTGGTGCGTCAGAACTCTCGAAAAATTCCACGCAGGATCCTCAAATGCTGTATACAACATCGTATCAAGTGACGAATCACGAAAACCAGTCACGAGTTTGGGTGTTCGAAAATGAGTTAAAGCCAACAAAAATTGTTCTTTCACGGAGTGTTGCAAAAAAAATGGTGGCCACGTTTGTCTCTAAAACTGGCCATGTTACGAATATTCCTCTTGAGGGACAAAGAACTGTTAATGCAGAATGGTATGCTAGTATTTGTTTGCCACAGGTCGTTTCTGAACTCCGTAAAGAGAACTGCAACCGCCGCATCATCCTCTAATGATTTCTATACTTTCCCTAAAATAAAGAATAATTTGCGTGGACAGAGATTTTCATCACCTGAAGAAGCTGTACGCCTACAAAACGGCCATTTTGGAGATTTCGATTATTTTTCAGTTCTTTTCAACTAGTTTCAATCACAATCATAATTTGTAGTTAAAAAATATATTTAAAAAAAGTTTAACTTAAAAGACGTAAAGTACGCCAACCCTCTGCGAACATTTCCTTGCCCTATACCCTTTCAAAAATTAGGAGGGCCCTGTGATCAACAGTAGCATGGATATAACTCTGCTTTCCTTTTATAGGGCTCGTTAAAATAGAATATTCGATGTTAAAAAATATAACATCATAAAAATAAAAATTACATATTTGTACGTTTTACAAATTTACATAAGTTCAGAAACCGTATTCATTAGCTGTTTCTAAGCAGGAAATGGCGATATCAGCCTTACCGGGTATGGCTGCGCATTTCCTCCAACTCCGAACCGAACAGACGCGATAGCTTGTAGCATTGCACATCCTTGCTGCATGAAATAGGTTACAAGCAAGTTCGTTATTCAAATACAAATCTATTTAAAACGTCATTTCATTTAAATAATTTGCTACAACAATTTATATTTTATGTCACGTTCTTAAGGATACATTCATATCCTACGTCTCAAAAGCTATATAGAATGTTATTATACCTGAAACCTAACAATATTGGAAGCACTTAAAATTTCAGGACCAATTTTCCAACCTAAAGTGTACTTTCAGGCTGAGCGTCAATGTTAAAAGTGACACTATATTCTTTATAGATTTGGTATTTATTAGTGATTTAATTAAATACTATCATTAAATAGACAAAACACTCAAAGTTAGAAAAATTAACTTTGTGGCCACTTTGCCATCAGGGTTTATAATGAAAACATGTAATAGGATTTGACTTCAAGGTTGAAGGTATGTTAACCTCATAATACACAACAATCAGAGTTATGGTTTGCTCCTTTAATTGTGATGCAAATATCAAAATTTACGATTATGGCAAAATTGCCCCTCCACTTTTTTATTTTTCATACAAACTTGTAAATGTGTGTCAGGGCTGTCAAAAATTCTTAATTACGTACTTTACTTAATTTCATTATTTAAATCTCTTCACAATAATTTCTGAGATAAAAATCTAAAATATATCAAACATAAAATTAAAGTCAAGTTGGTGCAATAAAACGCTTAAATCTATCTAGGTATGTATATAAAACACAAAAAATGTTTCTACTTTTTTGTGTGTATAAATGGGTCCCTAGATGGTTTATATTTGCATAGACTCGGTAGGTGGCACTGTTGTCGAGATCCAGAAATCACCCGTGCGAAGCCGTAGCGGATCGCTAGTCATTTAGAATATAGCTCAAAAACTAAGCTTGTCATAATAATATTTAACAGGTTTCAGTTTTAGGTAGGTTTAGGTAAAAAATAATTATTTTTGCCACAATAACACAACAAAAATCATAATAATTAAAAATTACACTGTTCTTTGGGTGCAAATTAATATAAACACACTAAATTGAAAATATGAAATATACTGAGAAGTAATTATATTATTAATATCCGATTACGCAGTAAAAATAATACAAATTTCTTTTTTCCTTTCCTTAACTTTTATAAAGTTGAATTGTTTGACAACTTGGTCAGTGAAATTAGTCTAAATGACAGCTAAGGTGAAACATATATACAAACATACATACGTAGAGTGTTAAGTACAGAACCATTTCTTGACTCGTACTCCCTTAAAAATATACGTTAAAAGTGACAACCGTTGGTCAAACGTCGCTCAAATCATGGCATCTGTTGGCGCGACTACTAACGCCATCTAGCGACGCACCGGAACACCACACTTTTATCTACGAATCAGAGCTCATCATTGTCGGCGACCAATCACAGCACGTCGTGCAATTAGTTATAAGATCTGTCTGTTTTAAATTTTGATTATTACCTGATACACACTATTAGAAATAAGATGATTTAAATATAACCAGCAAACTTTTAATAAATCAATCATTGAAGAGCACCTGCCTCCCGTTTCTGTACAAAAAGTGGTCCTATCGAGCCGAATAAGGAGGTCAAGCTTGAAATCTCCGAAGATTCGTCGCATCAAAATACGAAGAGGAGATTCACGTATCGAGCTAAGAGCTGCAACGTTAAGGCGTCAACAGACTGGAGTGGCAGGTCTGAACTTCCCGTCCGTTTCCCCATCTCATCCTTCGATAGGTGTTGATTTCGTGCTGATATTCCATTTCCAGTGCTCAAATGCGGTACCTACCTACGCAACGGCACCCACCTTGGTTCGCACGCATCTACAAATTGGCAACTGTAAGTACTCTTGATTTCCTTAATTTCCAAAATGAGTGAGCCTAAAATGTCAGATTTAATTAAGAAAAGAGGAGTTTAATGATTAACTATGTTTGAAAATTATGTCAAAAAGTTCACTTTACCCTTGACTGATCAACAGTCGTTTGAATTAAATTTACGTGTCAAGAGTACTTCGAGTTTGATAGAGATATATAGTCAAATACAGTCTAAAATTGAAGAAGAAGTAGCGGAAGATCTCGCTCTTGTAAAACACCTGGAAGAGAGAGATCGTTTCGAAGATCAATTTTATCGTGCTGTAGCTTCTGTAAAACTTTTATTGAGAAAGGAAGTATCTGACAAGTCTAGTGTTTCAACATGTAAGCCGATAGGCATAAAGTTACCCGATATTAAAATACCTTTCTTTGACGGTTCATACGATTGCTGGCTAGAGTTTAAAAATTCTTACGTTAGTATGATTCATGATCGCGATGATTTAGGTCCTGTTCAAAAATTTCATTATTTAAAATCGTCATTGTCCGGTACCGCAGCACACGTCATAGGTGCATTAGAATTTACGGCTAATAACTATTCTCACGCATGGGAGCTATTAGAGAATAGATTTAATAATCCGCGACTATTGGTTCATAATCATGTGAAGGCATTATTTAAAATTCCATCGATAAATAAAGAGTCCGCTTCCCAGATTAGGAACTTTATAGATATTGTTTTGAGAAATTTGTGTGCCCTTAAAACGTTAGGTGAACCAACAGATTCATGGGACACTAATCATTTACATGGTCGTTTCCAAATTAGATCAGGCCACTGAACGCGAATGGGAAGATTTTCAAGGTACAGCTATTTCGTTAATTGAATCAAGGTCAGCTTTGAAACTGGATGACCTACTTAAATTTCTCAAGGACAGGGCCGACGTTTTAGAAATGATAAAAGTGAACCATAACAAAGCCCACGAGAACAAAGGCGGCGAACAAACGCGCTCTAAGAAGCAATATACACATACTTATGTTGCAAAGAACGTTACTAACAATAACAATAAGGGTAATACGAAACCAAAACAAAGCCGCGTGTGTGTGATGTGTCATGGTAATCACGCGATTTATTCCTGTTCAAGGTTTCTTAATTCGTCTGTCCAAGAAAGGAATAAGATAGTTAAAACGCATCAGCTGTGCATCAATTGTTTACGCGCGACCCACCCACTTGACGAATGCAAGTTTGGGGCATGTAGGTTGTGTGATAAAAGGCACAACAGTTTGCTTCACATTGATGGGCAGGTAGACGGCGCATCACAGGTGAGCGGGTCGAGTGCATCAGCACAGCCGGTCGCCGCTAACGTCTCCACTGTCTCGTCATCATTACACGTTACGGCTAACCATTCAGAATCGCAAAACAGTAATCAGGGATATTCGTTATTACCCAACGTTTTGCTGTCCACAGCGTTAGTGGACATAGCAGATTATAATAACAAATATCACACTGTACGCATTAGGTATCAACTGTTTCTAAAGAAACCGTTATGTGAAACATTAAATGCACCGTTAATACAGTCCACTTATCACGTTGCTGGGGTAGGTCAAATAATTTCGCAGTCCACCCACATTTGTAAAATAAAATTACGTTCAAGGTTAAATTCGTTTTGTATGAACATTGATTGTTTAGTGTTGCCGTGCAATACAAATCTATTACCCACATTTAGTGTTGATGTAAATAATATGAGTTTAGGTACCTGATAATATTCAACTTGCGGATCCGAACTTTCACTCACCGTCAGACATCGATATACTGATAGGCGCGGATAAGTTCTGGGAATTATTGTGTGATGGCAAAATTAAGTTGAATAAAGGACCTTATTTACAAAATACAAAATTGGGTTGGATAATGTCGGGACCTTTACATAATAACACACTTCCCGTTAAGAGTATGCAATGTAATTTCTCCCAAACAATTGACACACAGTTGAAATTGTTTTGGGAACTCGAAGAGATAAACGTTAATAAAAACATCCTTAGTGTTGATGAACGTGCGTGCGAAGACAGTTTCGTCAAAACGACAAAACGTATGGAAGATGGTAGGTTTTCCGTACGCATTCCTTTAACCCTACATTACTACTCATGTTGCGACGTACAAAGAAACTACTCTTACGCCCGCGAGGCGCATCATATTGACTAATGATTTTATTCAAAACCTATAAATTTTGTTGATAAATTGACTGTTTATATAATTGTGTATATTACTAAAAAGAGAAAAACACAATTTAAAATAATATTTATATATTTTTATTATAAAATCTTTAATCAAATAGATCTTAGGAACAAATTTTAGGAACTCAGACAATTGAACAGTCTTCTCATTAAAAATTAAAAAAATAACTAATTAAAGTGTACACTTAGCTTAAAAAATAGTAAATTATGAAGTAATTGACTAAAAAAAAACTAACAAAGTAACAAAAAAAATATTTTAGATGCATTCGATACATACATGAACTTGATGTTCGCCGCATATAGATTTTTGACACTTGGCGCACATCATTTTGGACATCCTCTTCTTTTTAGATGTACAATAGGAGCAATACCTTCTTTTTTTTGGCGGCGGTGGACCCTCATATTCTACAGAAGAGTCAACGGAAGGTTTTTTTCAGGATGACTTCAATAATATCACGGATATTGCGTTTCAACGTAGGTGCTTCTAGCCTTTTTTGTATCCATTCAGTAGTCAACTGTGTGCTAAGTTTTTTCATGAATTGTCTTCTACTTAGGGGTTTTTCATTTTTTGTTGATACATTATGACAATATATAACATACGAATTCACGAAAGATATATTTAGCATGTCAAAAAAAAATAACCACTGGCCATCGGTTAGTCTTTCTGGAGCATGACATAGATGAAGTCATTTGGTCCAATGTATCTACACCACCTTTGGTCTGGTTGTAGAACATAATCATCTCCGGCTTTCCAGTTTCATTATTTATGAGCCCTTTATCGTCGCACGAAGATAACAGGAACACCATTTTAGCTGGCTTTGGTTTGTAGGAAACCAAAGTCAAAGGGCCATCGTAGGCGAACATGGATGTACCAACAGGTCGACGCCGGGTGTTTTTCACTTCTTGAGGAATTTCCCGTTTGTTAGATCTTATCGTACCAACAAGCGTGAGTTTGTATGGTTCAGCAAGTAGTGATTTGGCCAGCGATACAGACGT